TGTGCTCTTCCGATCTATTTACCAAAACGTTTACTTCGTGGAAAAGTTAGACAGGTTATATGCTCGAAATGAAGGCAGAGCCAGATGTGCAATAAAGAAATGAGTATATGTGAGTCGTTAGAATTAAGTATAGAAGCCTAAATAAAGATATATTGGTAACCGACAAATTTGTGTATATGTATGCGTGAGATATATTGATGTGGTAATAAACAATGACACATCACTACACACTACTACATCAATATCGCACGCATACATACTCACAAATTGTCGGTAAAACAGCGGATTTTTGGAGTTTGATCTAGGGTTTAGGATCCTTTTAACAGAACAATCTGTAAAATTTTTATATTTTTTGTAATGTTTTGAGGTACACCATATAGTATATCCTTAATCTGAAGTATCATGCTATTATGTTTGATCTTTACAGTTACGTTTTTTTCTGGTATATATGTATATTATACATATTGCATAGAAACATTTATTATAATATATTTGACGTTATTATTTATACTGTCATCATTTCTTTCGTCTTTTTAATTTAAACTATTCCAATTTATATTTATTTAATTATTATTTATATATATGTATAATAATGCATTCTTACACAATTATATTTTATGTTTAGCACGGAATAGAACCAAATAATGTACTTATCACGAAAGCAAACTAAAGATCGTAGATATATTACCCGTCGGAAATATCCATATAATTTAATATGCACGCTCTGTGCACGTTGAGGCGCTAGTGTTTCATTTAAAAGGCACATGTCTACTCTCAGACTTTTTTCTGTATGTCGGTATAAACTTACAAATATGCAAAAATCGCAACAAAAATATACAAAAATGTGTAACACACAAATCGTCGAATCAAGAGATTCGAATAATCGTCACGGAAAACGTCATTATTATCACTTATTTATTAAAAATCATATATTTGTTGATGCACTAATTTGGCATTTATCTCACAATAACGTATTTAATATTTTACTATGGCGACAATTAACCTGTGCTACACTATTTTTATATAAATTGCAATAATATCTAATAGAAGCAGAATAATTTATTTAAAAAGTATAATATACTGCTTATATACTCTTCTAATAATTATTGTCAAAACAGTTAAGTTGTACAGCTTTAACAAATTTAATATTTTAATAGAATTCAATTTATAGTAGAATTTAACATTTATATATCATTATACAATTTATGATAAGTGTTATCCATGTTGATCAATTGTATGATCAATTGTATGATCACAAATTGTACCATTAATTTAACACAAGAATATATGTTCGTAAATGAATCGTACATTACTCAACAAAATTAAAGAATCAACTGTTCTAGCTTTCAAAAACAAGCAAATTTCAAGATAGAGTAACTTATTCATCAAAAATGATCATAAGAGATTTTTCAAAGAACACTTTATAGATTGAAGCTTCTTCTTTTTAAAATATTTAAAATAATACTTTATAAAACGACCAACTTTTTTTCAGAGCCACATAGATACAAATAAAGATGTGACAAATCGCAAAATTTTTTTGAACTTTGCAAATTTCCATGACGTAAATTAAAAATGTGGTATAACTTTACAGCTTTTGAAAGAGTAAATCTTTTTCTTTAATTTACTTTTTTGTTGAGAGTTATACGATTTTTTTCAGCAAGTTATTCAACATTAAAGTAAAAAAGGCTTGTTTTTGCTTTAATGTTGAATAATTCGGTGAAAAAAGATCATACAACGCTCAACAAAAAAGCAAATTAAAAGAAAAGATTTACTCTTTCGGAAGCTGTAACCACATTTATATGCGATTTTTAATTCGCACCATGGAATTTTTCTAGGTTTTGAAAAAATTTTGCAATTTGTCACATATTCATTTGTATCTATGTGACTCCGAAAAAAATCAGTTAGTCGTTTTTTAAAGTATTAATTTTAAAAATAAAGGCTTTAAGCTATAAAATGTTTTGTGAAAAATCTCGTTATGATAATTTTTGATAAAGTTATCTTGAAATTTGCCTGTTTTTGGATAATAACAAATGATAACTTTAATTTTGTTAAGTAGTGTATTATTACAACGTATATTCAATGAATAATTTTAATAAAATATTTTACAAATATCAATTAATATTAAAAATTTTAAAACATTAAGATCACATGCAATTTGTCACGTCACAGACTATTTTCAGAGTTATATTAAAAGTTAACCGTTTACATAGAGTATGTACATACACTCAAGCTTATAATTATGGATTGACGTATGCATGTTGATTATTTTTCTGCTATAAATAAAAATTTTTACAGCTCAATCATCAATATTAATTGATCTTTTTTTACTGCTCAACTTAGTTTTTAGATTGTTACATATGTATATATTGCGCATTGAGTAGAAAATCATTATAAATTATAATCATCGTAATTGTTGTTTATAAAAAGTTTATGACTTTGCCTTTCCTATTTTCAAATATCTTTCCAAAGAAATATAACAGAAAAGAAATAACATTTTTTAAGAATGGATATTTATAATTCAATATGTGATACATGCATAAGAGAACGCTACATGCATAAGATTTCATAGAATTTGAAATAACAATTTGAAAAAAATCAAAAAATACTGCGAGGTTGTAAAATGTATCGCGACCTCAGCATAGATTTTCCTTGAAGCTTGAAAGTTATCCTAATAAAATTGTATATAAATTACTCTTACATATTACATGATTACGCATACATCAAACGCATGGGACGCGATTGGACAGCGTTATATCGCGCAGTAACTTATTGATAAGGATTGTGTGTGTCATATGCGACATTTTATCTGTTTGATCATGAACGACCATATCATAGTATCAGGACAAGTTCAAACATTTACGCAACAAAACTGTAGTGAAAATTGCAATGCGTTTAATTTATCAATATAAATAGCAAGGTGCTACTTAAGAAAATATGAAAATACATTTTTTTTATTTACTACAGCAGGAACGCAACTACCAACCATGGTAGACAAAATTACTTATATTTTGCTATCAGTTTATTGGCATAATCGACATAGGCTTGCTTCGCCACTTCTTGTGAAGTGCTCTTCTTCTTGTTCCAGGCTTCCCATTTGGCTTTCCCTTTTAAATCCAGCATACCAGGTTTGGCTAAAATATCATACATATACATTATCAACATAATATATATAATCAATATAATATTAATCATTTATTTTATACAATTCTAATATTGTTTATTTTACAATATTTTAGAATATCGGCAAAGCAATTGAATAAATAAATTTTCTGTAATTTAATTATAAAATAAATATAATTATTATTTATATTTAATAAGTATATATATAAATATACAATATAAATATAATACATTAAATATAATATGCATAAAATATTATATTATGTACAATTATAATATACATATATACTATTAATGTAATACGTATGGTTATATGAAATTAAATTAATAGTATATCATTTTATATATAATTTTTATGATATTACTTACATGTGTTATTATCACCAACTGTAGCTTGTTTAAACAAGGCGTAAAGCTCCAAAAGCTCCTCGTCAGTAGGGCGTTTTGTGAGCGCCTTTACAGCTTCGGCAGCCGCTTCAAATTGCTATTAAAGAAAATACAATTATATTAATTCCCGATAACAATTTACAGTTATATTAATATTAATTTTACACTCAACAATATAAATGTAATATGTGTGTGGATGTGCGTGTGCGTATGCGTGTGCGTGCGTGCGTGCGTGCGTGCGTGCGTGCGTGCGTGTGTGTGTGTGTGTGTGTGTTTGTTTACTAGACAGTATATGCATTAGTAATATTATTAAAGGGAGAAAATATATTATTTACATATAATATTGTATAAGAAAATTAATATTAAAAAAGTGTTCGCTAGAAGTCACTATATACGTATCTCAGCAGCGTATTATATATCAGCTTATAAATATGGATTATGTTCAGAAAAGGCCACGAACGTGACCTTTGAATTGTGGATGACTCTGCAATAAGTTCCTTAAAAATGATTTCTATTATTAACTCATAATATAATTCAAATTTACTACTCAGAATCATACGAGCTTAAAATTGTTGACATCAATATAATTATACTAGTTTGCAATTTTTTAATTATATTATTTAATTTAAATTTTAAGGTCGCGATAGTAAACGAACTCAAAATTTCTTGTCAAAACTTTCGAACCTTTCTTTCAATTAAATGTATCCAAATTAAATGATAATCTACTGTCTGTCCAAATTTCTCCTCGAAGAAATGCATAGGATAATATTGTGCACAACCGCAGTTTGGGATTAATAAAATTAGTATGCTGCTGTGTCGCCGGTCAATTTTTGCAATTCATTTCCGTTTCAATCAGTCCGTTGACGTCTTTCTGATATAGTAACTCCAAACTCCGAAAAAATTGATGCAAATGAAGAATGCACTTTTTATGCACAAAATATGAAAATTGCACTCTTTATGTTACATACATAACATTGATAATGCACTCTTGCACTCTTTATGCGTGAATCGTCGCGATCAGAAAAAAAAGAAGATATCTGCAGTACCTGGTCGAGAGACATCTTAATCGTCCAACTACACTGTAGATATTTTAAGTACTTTGTGACCACCGATCGAATGCTTGCACAAGTTAAAAACGCTAATCCCCACCTCGCAAAACTTATCACGATGCGCGAACCAGGGTCGGACAACACGAACTTGTTTCTCTTTTTCGGAGTATTAATAGCGTGTTATAAGAGATTATTGCAAATGTAATCGGTTTATGAAACGTTTTCGTAATATATTTTTGCAATATTTCCGTAATCATACAATGCGATAAATTGAAAATCATGCAAAAAAAAAATTGATCGAGCAATATAATGTCGTGATACATTCGCTCATAAATAGAAAATAAAACAGAAATATTATACGGGATCGAAAAGTTTACGACTTGTACTTATAAACGTGTTTCTTCTGAGAAATTCAGTTAAAATATTAATCTGGAGTTATGAACAAATTTATTAATAAACAAATTTTGAGAATTAATTGAAGTGAGGGAATTTCTGATGAAATTTATCTTGAAATCGACCTTTTTCACGATTCAATAAATCGAATCTTAAGAAAAAATCTCACAATCAGATATACACATTAATAATCTTTGAATTCTGTATCAGCTGAATCTTGAGTCAGAAAAAATTGCATTAGTTTAAACTGAAAATAACCTGAGATTAAGAACAAATTATGCTTAAATTAATAATTATATTTTGTATGAAAAATTCTTAATCATTTTCAAATTAGTTACAAACAATTGTATTTTTATTAATATAGAGTAATCATTGAGATGTAGAAAAAAATAAAATAAATTAAATATTACTCTATAGAAAAAAATCTTTTATTTTCATTAGCTTATATTGTAAAAAGAATATATTTTTATAATCGTAAAATTATATAAACATTATAAACAACTTAATTAATTGCACAAAAGGTCAAAAGATCTCAATATGGACCATTTTCATGAAAAAAATTATTCAAAGATACAATTAAAGTTATTAGTGTTAAAAAGTATGATCAATAGTTTTTAAAACTGCACCTCGATTATTGTGTAAATTCAGGTCATCATCATTTTGAAAACATGCATCACTAAGGATATTATTACACGAGTCGTACGACAAAGATTTCAAGCCTATTGATTGGCTGTAGGATAGAGAGGTCCGACAACTTCTTTTTCTCGCAACCAATCAATAAGCTTCAATTTGTCGTACGACAAACGTAATATCAGCCTAAGTCGTGCAACAAAAGTCCGAATTGTCGATTCTTTTTTATTAATAATATTTATTTTATAAGTAGGGGAGATCGGAGCTCGTTGACACAGTTTTCACAATTTAGGTATTCAACTTTTTTAAACAACTATTTATTATACTTAATTAAACTATATTAAGTAATATGAGAGAAAGAACTTTTTTCTATTTCGTGCCAAGAACGATTCTGTATATCGTATTAGTTTCTTTGTAGTAAATATATAAAATACAACCATGCATTGTAACCAATTTACCCTGATAATGAAGTAAATTGACATATATCACGGTTCAAGTTGCTTAAACGACAAACTATACATTAAATTAATGAAAACATAATAGAAGTAAGAACAGATCGCAGATATGTATTTCTTAAAAAAGATTGCATCTTTTAAAGTTATTTTGTAATGATCAAATAGCAAAATGCTATAGAAATGTTATAGAAAAATTAATGTAAACTATTTTAAATGTAGCTTGCTTCAATACAGAAATATTAAATAAAAGAATGTTTTATCATAATTAAGTTGTAATTGAAAATTTACACTTCTTAGAGTAAATCAAGCTAAGCATGCCTTAAAATGTAAGTCAACGTACCCCATTCTTACAGACATAATTCAAATCATTTTATAATATTATAACAAATTACTCAAAATAACGTGTCATATAATAACAAAAATTTTTCTTTTAACTAATACATCACTTAGATTTACTGTCTCCAGCTGAAGAACATTAATACGAAATTTTGGAACGCTTGAAAATTTACTTGCTTCTTTTTAAATCAGATTTTTTTTATTGAAATATTTGTTTGATTTAAATACAATTTAGAGAAATAAACCTATTTAATAAAAGAGATATTTTACGGTATTCCATTGGTTTTTTTAACCTTAAATCCATAAACGGAACGCAATCTCGGAACATTGCCTCTTCTGCCAACGAGCTCCGGTCTTCCCTACTCGTATATACATATATTTTTTTTGCACTATAATAAAAATGATGATAATGAAAATAATTTCTTCTGTAGTATAATGTTTACTTCATCTCATTCTATAACTATTTATCATAAAGTATTAACTATTTAGCTTCAATAATTTCTGTGAGTTGCACTGTATATTTGTATATTATGATATATTTATAATATATATTATAATATATTTTAATACCATAATATTACTTTGAGTTTATTATAGAAAACAGACAAGCATAAAAATTTTTATAATTGTATTTAATGCATTCTTTTCTATAATTTGAAAACTCTCTAAAATTACTAGAAAATTTATCAATCCTTAGTAATATTTAGTATTATTAGTAATATTTTAAAAATTTATCAATCCTTAGTAATTAATAATGTTACAAATAATAATAGATATGTTTAAATTACACAGTCTGCGTTGAAAAATCGAACTAATATTGTATTATTTGTAAATCCTTAATTTTTTAGATAAATCTATGTAATATTTCCTTTTTTCTAATACTTTTATCGCATTTTAAAATTAGTTTTAATGAATGTAATAAATAGCTAAATAAATTTATTTATTAGAAGTAAGAAAGCAAATCTTTCACAACGATATGCTTGAAGTTATTATGAAACGACATGCTGAATACATACATCCATCTCATTTATAAACTCTATATATTTTGCAACAAAAAAATATATTTATAATATTTATATAACGGTAGACTTTTATCTACATATTTCTAACAAATTTTAAATCGATTTTCTATGATGAAAATGTCAAAAAAGTTGCAAATTGTCAATTTTCTATATCTTTGTAACTAATTCTCAAATTATATTATAATTTATTCGATGAAATAAAGAGTAAGATTTGCACTTCCAGAATCAAATTTCTTAAGAAACGCCTTTCATTTTCAATCACATTTGAGATTTAAATAGTCGTATTTTTCGGTGCTTTATCGAGAAATAATTGATTCTAATTTAAAAGAATATATAAATAAATGAAGATGTGATTTGATAAATCTGAGGCACTTTATATATTTAAGTGTATAATGCGATATACCGGTTCTAAAACTGATTGAGGTAAAGAACCCCATTATAGACAATCATCATATAGACAACATATTATCATCGACAACATCGTCTATAAAGTTTTTTACAGCTTCACGAATTACATGCAAATATTTGAAAACAAACAACACGTTAACATTGAACACGGATATTCTACGTGTATCGAGGAACTCTGTAAGAAACACATAAATCAAAAGGAATTAACGAAAAGTTTTATTTTGCAAGGTTATGAATTCTTAATCTTTGAGATAACTGATATGATAATTTTTTACTCTCTCTCTCTCTCTCTCTCTCTCTCTCTCTCTCTCTCTCTCTCTCTCTCTCTCTCTCTCTCTCTGCTCTGCTCTGCTCTGCTCTGCTCTGCTCTGCTCTGCTCTTTATTCTATTCCTATTTTTGTTTATTTCAAGATATTATTGGCAAAATTACATAATTTTATTAAGATTTTAATAATTCCCTTATTTGTCAAATATTTTTCAAGTAGTTTCTGATTTCGTAGATTAATTAATTCCACAGAATTTAATTTTACACAGTGAAAATGCCTATCGATTAATTCCTTTTAATTAATCTATATTTTTTGCGTGAAAATAAAGCAATACCTGATCGACCGACATTGGTGATGTGAATCCGCTTCGTGTGCAAGCTAACTGTCTACTGACTAGTAGCTAGTAATCATGACTCTACGCTTCCTGATCGCCGCCGAGTTTATTACTTTGGCATCAAAGGTGGGGGGCGCGCGGATCTCTATCTTAAACTGATTATACAGTACCACGGATATTTCAAATGACCCCATACGTGTAAGAAAATTTAATCGCGGCTCAAAGTTTATAAAATTACAATCGATACATGATACTCGGAAAAGAATCTGATGATATGAATAATTTTGGATCTCATATGTATAAGTAAATTTAATCGCGGCTCAAAGTCTGTAAGATTACAATTGATACATGACATTCGGAAAAAAATCTAACGATATGAATAATTTTGTAACAAAAAATAATGTGCAATACGGGTGAATATTATAAAAAATTTTATTTAGCAAGATAATTAAGCGTATATGTAATACGCAAACGTAATATTAGTAATTGCTAAAAAAACGTGAAGATACATTTATATCTAGAACAGAAATTGCAATTAAATAGATGTGCAATCATTGTACGTATATCATTGCTTTCTAAAAAAATTATTACTTATTTGATACATCATAATTTAATCGTCTAGTTGAAGAACAGACGGACGCGGAACCAGAATTAATTTTTCGATGCGTCAAATTAGCGACAGCGTGATAACAAACAAGCAAGCTAACTATATGTAATTGTAAGAATCTACGCAAGATAATGATCGCTATTATTGTAAACTCGCCAAGAATATACGTTCAAAATTAAATAATAAAGAACAATACAAAAAAAAAGAACAACAGGAACAGTTTTTTAAATCTAAATAATACATGCATGCAGCATTACGTACAATATTAAATTTAATTCTAAGATTTATTTGAAAAGTCAACTCTAGCGAAAGAGATATTCGAGGTATATGTATATACGAGTAATATATGATATTGATGTACGCTACGTAAAAGTGGCACGCAATATTATCCACTATCTATTTTGTTCTTGTTTCCTTTCGATAACGGTTGAATTGATTGAACATCATATTTTATCATGCTCCACTTTGTAAGAGGAGCCTTCTCCGAAATCATAATTTCGCTGGTCCTTATACACGCAGTGTTCGGGGAAGAGCGAACGGGGCCAATGTGCTACATCAACATCCAAGACTCACCTGCACAGGAATGTCGGAATTCCTGGCTACCTCTGACGCACAATTTATCACGTTCTTACATACACACGTACGAACGCTTGTATGTATACATATATATATATATATATATATATATATATATATATATATATATATAAAAGACGTTTTGCAAAAAATCTGTTCTACTTATGGATTTACATTGCAATATTACTTTATGCGACGCATAATACGTTGCGTTAAGTGACTTTTTAACAGATTGCGCTTGTTAAAATGAAACACAAAAATGTTGATTTACATTTACTTACACCCATACAGCAGAAATATATTGTAGAAATATCCTAAAGATATATTTGGGATATGCAGGGCTGGATAGTAATTAGTTAAAAAGTTAAAAGTTAAGTAATAAAGTCAAATAGTTAACTTTTAATTTAACTTCGTTAGTTAATTTTAAACAAGTGAACTGTTAACTTCAACTAGTTATTTTTAAACATATATTAAACTTTAACTTATTAACTTTATTCTAAATTAAACATTTACTTATTTAAAGGAAAAAAATATTTTCATATAAAGACAATATTTCCTTGTTATTCCATATAAACTTAATTTACAAATAAAATCTTAATGATCATTTATATTATAATTGGTTTTTATTTAGAGTAATCTTATTTTTTAAAATTATGACATTCTAATTTAATATAAATGATGTTTTTAAAATTAACTTTTAATTTAAATTTAATTAATTTAATCTTTTAACTGAGTTAGTTTTTAACTGAGTTTTTTGTTCATGCAACTTTTAACTTAACTAAATTAATTTTATAAGTTAACTTTAACTTTAACTTAATTTTGTTAAAAAAAAATATTAACTTACCTAATCCTGGGTGTGACAGGGAAATACATCATAATGATATTCTAAAGATATGTGATATTTTTAGGATATCACTATGATGTATTTTCAATATTTCTGCTGTATGGAAAATAAGCGGCACTAGTAAAAAAATCACAATTAAAGCATTTTTAATTGTAATCATTTTTTAAAATAATCAGCAGTAGTATACTTTAAAATGATATAATTTGTATTGTAATTTTAATTTAAAATAAAATTAACACTTTCGTACAAATAATTCTTCAAAATGACAGTATACCGGCTATAACATTTTTTATTGTTGTCGAGATATCTATACAAATAATAAAACGCTATATGTCTAAGTTGTCTTTCAATGTATTACGTCACACAGCATCTATTTAATTAAAAAGATTATAATTTAAATAGATAATTAATTTTTAAGTTTATAATATTTGCTGTAAAATATTACAGCATAATGACACGACGAGTGCATAATGCACAAAAGAATCGTCACGTTGCGTACATGGGAGTCAGCAGAAAGTTTGATTACGAAAACGCGCAGGCACGAGAACGAAATGGAGAAATCCTTGGAGAAAGAATGCGGAATCACTGCTGAACGATATTGGACACGCTATATGTAATTTTCTTGTCTCCCGTCAGTCGCGCATCCTTCATTGCAATAATGCATTGAGAGCTGTATAAAACTGATATACTGCAAATATTTAATAGAAAGTAAAGTTTTATTAGGAAGGGGACAGATATATCTGAGAGAGAAATCTCAACAAATATTTGCGCTTTTGTACAATAATCCCGCGGTTAAAGTAAAAGTATAATTATAAATAATTTAAAGTGTTTCTTCTTGCATTTATCTTGAAATCTACAAGTTACTTTCACTCCAGCTGTAGTCTAGTGTAATCTTAATATTATTAAATTTAAAATAAATTTTAGAGAAACAAGGTTGATACAAACAAGGTTTGAAATAATCTATAATTTGTGTTAAAATTTAAAATAGAACTAATAATTTTATAAGTCGTATGCTACAAAACTTTTAAAAAATCATAAATAAAATTATTGTTAAAATACACACGTATATATCAAAATACCACATACAAAATAAGAGAAATCTACGTTAAAATCTAACGTGAATTTGTAGATTGTCTAAAGTAAGCTTAATATAAATAAAAACAATGAAAAGAATTATTATGAAGAAGGAATGTAGTTGTATTTTCAGAAATATAATTTTGTCTAAATATTTAAAAGATTGTTCTATATATGTCATATTATGTATTTACTGATTAGTTTACGCTATTATTCAAATGATATATTTTAATTGCTCTTACAAATCAAGTAAAAATGTAATGTCAAATTTTATACACATAACAAAAGATCTCGTAATATCGACAATTACCGATCAATAATGTGTACAGAAGTAAAGACCAGCTTAATGTACTCGGTTAAAGTACTTAGATAAAATTCGATTTATCTTATCGAGTGCAACACGATTGATTTTTTTCTCCAACATTATTACTATTTGAAAGTGTGTTCTGTCGAACACACATATATTGATGTGTAAATTTAGCGAACGATGTCATATGTATGTAAAAAGACATGTTGTGCGAAAAATTACCAACAATAAATAACCGCAACTTTCACAAGCACTCTCGCGATCTGACGAGTAAATATTTTACGGAAAACACACTCGTTTATACACGTATACGGATAACGCACGTATACAGGAAATATTGATCGAAAAAAAGTCTGCAACACAGCAACAATGCCTTTGCAACATGAATGCAATCAGCTTATTAGCTTGTTTTAATTTATTTTACTGATAATATTACTATAAAGAAAGAAATAAAATAAAAATTTAAATTGTATCCAGGCTCATATGAATAAAATTCGAGAAATAAAATAATTTTGCAATTTTAATATTATTTTATTAAAAATCTTATTTGAAAGATTAATAATATTAACATACATATTTATGCATATTTTAAATGTTTCATAAATGAATAAAAGAAAAATCTATTTAATTGCACAATTACTGCAAACTTCTACAGTCTCACAATATCTCAACATTACGTTATTTTTACACTCTCTAGTTAATTATTACACTCAACATGTTTAACGAAAAAAGACTTAAATATTTTGAAAAGTGACGAAGATCGTCTCATTTAATTTTTTAATAATTAACCTATCGTTTCTTTTCTTAAAGACAGATAAAAAAATTGTGTAAATTCATACAAGCTGCTCAACAAAGGCACGCGAGGATCCGTTGATCCAACGATCCATGGATCGTTGATCTATACGCTACGGTACTGATGCGCGAGCCTCGCCGAGGATCACCGAACGGTACCGACGATTCTCGAGTCTGGTACGCGGGCCTTGCGCCTTGCGTGCGCGAGAGTGCTCCGAAAATCCGGCGCGAGTACGGCCGCGTGATTTGTGTCGCGCACACGCGCAACCGCTCGATCATCGGCGATCGATCGAGTCAGGCGCTGGCTCGTCGGATCGTCGTTGTCGTCGTATGATCAGTTCGCGTCGTGCCGCGCGATCGTACGTTTCGTTTCGTCGCGTTGCGTCGCGCTCGTTGTCGGGCGAGTGCACGTGCGACGCGCTTGGCGGAGAGTACGAGTGTGCGCGAGATACGAATTCCTTGCTCATAACGGATCCGCGATTCTTCGAGGAGGTCGCGGCGAGAAGACGGTGCGCGAGGCTTCGGCGAGAAATCAAGCGGAACGAGAGTACCGTGTACCGCGCGTCGCGATCCCGTCGTCCTTTTCGCAAAGCGACGAGTTTCGCGCGACGTGACGCGACTGACGAGTTAATAAGGAACGGCATGGCAATAACCGCGGCTGTCGCGCAGCTGTTTTGTGCAAAACGTACGGTGTGCCGTCGCCGAGCTCGTCCTCACATTTGCAATATTGATACTACGTGAGTTTAAAGCGAAAGGATACCTTGAATCTTTCATTAAACAAAAAAATTGTAATTGTTATCTTATTGTTTACACTTCAAAAAATTTTAATCAAGATATTAATATAATTTGAACATTTTAATTTCATATCGATGCCATGCATCAAGTATTTATCCATTTTATTTGTTAATGTTTTGTACATATCCATCGCGCGCAACCAATCGTTATTATAATTATTGAACTTTGTAATGATTATCATAAAATTAAAAAAAATTGATAACTATCGCTTACTGGAATTTTATTGCATCGTCACAGTTACTGAACGGCTTCAATTAACCTACTTAGTCGAGAATAAAAGCAGAAATCAGTTTCATAATTGAAAAAACTAAAAAAATAATCTGTTTAACAACTAAGTGTGCTAGAATAACAATATAAAATCTGTACATTCGGTTAAAAACAATCAGTATAGTCATTTCTTAGAGAAATGAAATCTAATGCAAAAAAATCTAAAATTAGTCTATAAGATATGTTTAGTCTAAATTTATTCGATAGATCAATAAAAATGGATTGCTTTTCCTCTAATAACAGATAATTGCTGATTAGATTGTAAAAAAAAACAAAGACAATCTGACAATAACGAATAACAATTCTTGATTCCTGTGACAATTAATAGAAAATGCAATAAGCTTATTCATCAATTACTCATCCGCTTGATTCGTAATTTCCTAATTTTATAAAAAGTAAATAATTATATCAGTTATACAAGTTTTGGTAAATATTCAACATATTAATCATCATTTGTTACAGCAACAGCACAATTCAAAAAACAAAAAAATTAGTCTAAATGTTTTATTATAATTAAAATTTTGTGATATTTATAATTTTTAAATGCAATTTTGATCTAATAAGTGATTGTAGAGAAAAAAATGTGTTTTAAAATACTTTTTTCTTTTTTTCTTCATGTTTCCGTTCTTTTTTGCAAGTAACTAGAAAAAAAATGACAATTTTTGAATTATATCGTTATTGTAGCAAAAACGATAAATTCTACAAAATTTACATACGTCTGAATTTGAATTATGTAACAATAAAATAGTTATTACATCCATTGCGTAATAAATAACCACTGTGACTGCCAATAACAACATCGCGATCAACAATAACATGCACGCGCGATACCCGTGATAAGAGTACACACATGAATGCGGCTTATCAGCGTTTTCGCGGAAAACGTTTGAACGTTTGCGGTTCTTTACATCCTCTTCGTGCCAGATTGCGATTTGCGACGATGATTCTTCTTCCTGCACTTTTGATTTCCGTGATTACTATTGTGCTACAATCCGGGAACATGTAATAATGCGCATGAAAACGCGAATTCATCAATATCTGCATGCGAATAAAACAGTATAATCTGTATAAAGCACATTTTGAGTTAGATTGAATTGAGACTAATAATATAAAATATAAAAATTGAGAAATTGCAGAAAATATAAAAAAAATATATAAAATGTTTTAAAACTTCCTTGATTTATACATTATAATAAAAAATATAAACAGGAAAGAGAGAGAGAAATAGAATTAATATTCTTTAAAAATAAAAAAATTAGAGAAAACAATGGGCCTGCATCTTTAAATAATATCAAAAGTTCTTTAAGATAAAGACAATAAATAGTGACAAAAATATAAAGAGATAGATGATATAGACAAAAATGATATAGATTGAAGAATAGTATGAAATGTCATTGTAAAAAGAATTAGTATGAAATAAAATAAAATTCTATTTCTCCTTAGATCTTGAAGATTCAAATTATAATGAAAGATAAACTAAAAATGCGAAAAACAGTGTAAAAGTATTGCAATCGGAAATCTTTTATCAAGATTTCAAATTGGAAAAGAGAAGCATGAATAAGAATAAGAACATTGAACATTGTGTGAAGTGATGTTGCCATGGGACTAGAGTGAATCGCAACTGTTCGAGCCTTTAAAAAAGGGACGAAATGAGCCCTTCACCCACTGCCAATCGGAGTTTCCTACACGGAAGCGGCAAGGCTACCCTAATCTCTGACAAGGTCGTTTATGCCACTCTCGATAGCTTAGCCTTAAAACAGACGAGATTGCCTCTACAGTTGCTTCCCGTGGAGAGCGACAATATCGTAGATAAGCCGGACAAAAAAGAAAAGAAGCTTGTCAATGGAAAAACTTCAATTAAACGACCGTCTTACAAGGTACGTCAATATTGTATGTAGATATTAAGTATTTATTTTTATTGGAAAACCTTGAAATGCAGATATCATTCTTAAAAAAAATCCGAAAACCTGTAAATTTTATAAACATTTGAAACTTTACGGAATTTATTAATCTTAATTTACAAAACAGACTTTCAATACAATATTAGTATTTAATATAAACATGTTTAGTATAAATGGTTAAAAATTTTGAATATGAATATTTATGTTTTATTGCGAAAATATTTAATAAAATAATAAGATAATGAGAAAAGATTTTAGATAAAAGAGTTTTTTAAGCCTAAAATGATTTTATAAAATTGTTTTTAAATATCTTAAAAATTTAATTATTATGAAGTTAAAAAAAATTATTTTGTAAAGCTGTCATTGTTATTGCAATTTATATAATTTAATATAGGATTCGAATAAGAGATAGATTTTTCCAAATTCTTGAAAGTCCAAAGAAACTCTATCACGATTAGTCACGCATAACCCGGATATTTAAAACCGGGTATTTAAAAAAGAGCTTATGTGGCTGTGAGGGAAGAAACTAAATAAGTTTTCTCTTATGTACTCTTATGTGAGAATACGCACGAAATACGCATATGCGGATACACGAGCAAAAGGATGCTAATAGCCGGAGGAGTGGCTTGTTAGCTCTACGACGTTAGCTTACCACGTCGGATAAGAATCACAGATGGAGCACCTCGATCTTTCACTATACACATTTTTGCGACACCGTTAGGCAAAGAAGCGCAATCTCATTCGAAAACTTAATTCGCGTCTAAATAGAAACTTTTCTGAAGTGACATCGAGCGATTTTTATCGCACGGTACGATTTTATTGCGGAGCATACAACTCCGATTTCCTTGTATCGCCGACATTCCATTAGTTTGATGATAGTACGGAATGCGACCGACAGGTAAAAGTCACGGCTTACAATCGACGCACGTATTGCCCTCCGAGTAAAACCGCGAAATTCCACCTTAGTCACAAAGAATGTCACACCTTTTTCACAATAAAATAAAATATTTTATTACGAAAAATTACTCTTCGTTCGTTACAAGAAACTCGATTTTTATTTGAAAGATATAAAAATTTAATTTTTATTCTGAATTCTAGAATTCTGTGATTATAATATATTGTATATCTTAACATTTTTCTGCAAATATATTTCCACAAAAAAAACTATTCCAACTTTTTATTATCAAAGTTGGATATTTTTTTACATATGTAATAATACTAATAATGAACAATAGTTTCTTGAGGGAAAAATCAAATTAAATTGTTAGTAGGAAAGGAATAATTTGTGTTATAAAAAGATTAATTTCATCTTTGTGATATTAATCTCATCATACAAGCAGCATCCAATATAATCGATCTTTATAGAAAACATGTTACTTAATTGAAATAATTAACGTTTTAGAGAAATATTATCATATTTTAAAAATACATATTAAAAATTCAGTTAGTAGCGTAAGAATTATATTTAAATATTTTACTTATTACCTACTGTAAAATAAAATTTTTCCTAACTTTTTAAAAGCTTTCTCTCTTATGACACTTGCAACGACCGATTCAATTAGTCGTCCGTTTAATTACGCCCGTTTCGTCATTAGGTGAAATCCGGAGCGAGTCATCAGTGGAAAAGTTACTCCAAGTGCCTGGTCTTCTCTTCCACGAAGACGGAGAACCAGTCGACGACTCGTGCCACGAGAATACTAGATTCTGGAACCGAATGCAATATTGAGAATACTCTCAGAAAGGAAATTCAGGCACCAATAAATGCGACAGGCGTCGTAGAAAATACTGTAGAAAGTCCATTTTCTACAAGGCCATCCACGAAAGAAGAATCTCACATTAAGGACTTTCGAAGCAACAATGGCGATGATTCAACACATATACAAACGGAGACGAATTCTCTCGGCGATGATGCCAGTCTTACTGCTAATCAATGTGAGAAAGAAAAATGCTCAGTCGAAAGAAGAGACTCTAACGCATCTAGCGACTACGAAAGGATTAGTATAACAGAATACAAGGCGTCCACACACGACCTGGAAGTCCCGGACAAGATAGTTTCCGAATCCATCGCACAAATTTACAAGATCGAGAAAGATTCTCCGATTCCTTCGAGGACAGTCGCGAAATCGCAGTCCGTAAATGATCTAGCAACAAGAGAGGCTACGTACGACAACTCTTTCGTGGAATACTCGAAGCAGGACGCGGAATCGATCACGAGCGACGAGAACGACGTATGGCACAAGAATAAGAAGAGGCGCTTCACCAGAAACGTGCTGCACTACGTACCGAGGCATCTAGTGAAGCAGCCGAAGAAGAAGAAGAAGAAGAAACTGAAAAAGAAACACACCCTCAGCAGCTCACTAAGTTCCCTGAGATCGTTGCAAACAGCATCCTCCCCGAGCATCTCGGACTCATACGCCAAGACCAGAAGCCTATCGAGAGACGAGTTAAGGAGTGTAATCATCTCATCGCCCACGAACTTCGTCCACGTGGCGTCCGCTACGAGCCTGGTTCGGAACCCCCTCGGATTGGATCTGGAGCAAATCGTGATTACTCATCAGCAGATATGCGCTACGTTACCTCTACTTGTTAGAAAGGACGAGCGACGCAAGAATAAAAACATCGAGCAGCCCAAGGACACCGCAAGAATGTCTCCCGTGGACGACGTAATTTCCAGGCAATCCGGGCAAAATCAATCTGCCGTTGAAAACGTCACGGGTACGTTCTCTTGACACATCAGATTTCTTTGTCGAGTTCGATAATCGTGAAAGAATTTATGCAAATAATCTCCTTGCTCAAGTGCGCAATTGTGCCTTTGAATCTATTATACATATATACCGTCGAATCGAATAAATGAAAGCGCTAAGCAAACGCATAACATGACAATTCTAATTTCAATAATAAAATTACCAGTTATTATAAAAATATTAAAAATAAAGAAAATCATGGAAGAATAATATTAATAATATTATTTCATATAATTGTTTTATTCTTATTTAAAGATTTTAATACTACGTTTAAAGATATTAAGGGGTTACACCACCCTGGAGGCCTTAAAATGATACCTAAGTTTGAGATTTTTTTCTGGGTAAACAGATAACTTTATTAAAAACTTACTTTAAGAACATTGTTGTACATATAATAAAGTAAAAAAAATATTTTTTTTTTGTTTAATGTTCAAAATGGTGGCACACTGATGGCCTACTTGTCAAATGCCTTTTTTCTAAATTTTGAAATTGGTACAAGATTGCAGGCACACAGTTTGACCTTAAACAAAATACAAAGAATGTTCAATATCTATATATTAAAAACTACAGATATACGTAGAGGTTTTTTAAAATATTGATTTTTCTCAAAATGGCAGCTATTTTACGAAAAATATGTATTTTTCGCCAACAAGTTTTTCTTAAAATAGCTGCCATTTTGAGAAAAATCAATATTTTGAAAAATCCCTACGTACCTCTTTAATCTTTAATATATAGATAATTAAAATTCTTTGTGTTTTGTTCAAAATCAAACCGTGTATTTGGAATCCTATACACCGATAAAAAAAGGGATTTTGCAAGTGTAGGCCAGTGCACCGTCATTTTGGACATAAGAAAAATAAAAAAATATTTTTTTAGTTTCTTATATATGTACAATAATGTCCTCTAAACAGATTTTAAATAAAGTTATCCATTTACTCACAAAAAAATCCCAAACTTTAGGTACCGTTCTAAAACTTCAAAGGTGGTGTAACCCCTTAATTATCAATAATAATCCAAAAAATTCTATAAAATTACTATAACTGTTATATTAAAATATATATCTATTATTTTCACATATGTTCACAAGAAAACTTCTACGATAAAAAGTATCACGTGAAAAAAAGCTATGATAACTATTCGATCAAAAATGATGCAATCCTATATTAATTATAAATATCATTTTAATCATACAATCAATACAACTGATTTTTTTGTAAGGGAAGGCTTTAACCATACTTAATTTTAATTGCAATAAAACTTCCTTAACATGTCACATATTATTATTACGATATACTAAAATAGTCCTTCTTTAATTGCAAATTTCTCAAAATTCTGAGATCACACAACAATTTTTTAAACAGAATTGTATTCAGTATCCAAAAAAATTACAATTCGGAAATTAACTTTTTGTACATTTTTTTGTTAAAAATGTAATTAATAATGAAATAACTTATGAAATATATAGGTATATAATTATATTCTTCTTATAATTTTATATAATTTTAACATTTCTGTTAAAAGGAAAAATTTAGATCCAATTTAAAATCGCGCTCTTTAATCGAGCTTAAATATATCGAAATATATCAATAATCTGATAGACATCGATGAAATTCGTAAAGAGCGTGATTCTAAAAAAAGAAAACAGATAAAGAGGCTGTTTCAAAACATATAGGCTTAACTTCAGAAGTGAGAGAGAATTGAAGATATAAGAATAATAAAAAGTTTGAATAAATGTTTGTCTTTGACTAACCTATTTGACTTTGTTTCTAAGTTACAAGTAGACAATTTTATGTATCAATAATTCTCGTTACAAAATGATTCATAGATATTATGAAAGTGTTTAGAAAAAAATGATCAGTGTGATATAAAGTATTGACAGTAAATAGCTGACAATGAATGAAATCGGTTAAACTATTCAGTTTGCAACATAATTTTGAATTATTGAAATACAAAACTGACTGTAACTCGGAAATCAGATTAAATAGTACAAACATTTATGCAAACCTTTATTCTCTTTATTCTCTTATACCATCAATTCAATTCCTAAAGTGTTACGCCCACGTGTTTTGAAACACTTTGTATAAAATACGAGAGCATTATCTCTCTGTTCACACAAAGTAGCTTTTCTGGCTATGTACAGCGATATCAAGCGAGGTCAGACTCTGACGACGGATTCTCTTGCAGATAAGAGCGACCGAACGAACTACGCGGAGATACAGAGCGACTTCTCGAGGGACTCACAGGCGAAAGTTTTGGAGTCCGACCAGATGATGGTGAAAATCACGACTGGGAATCAGGCCGATTCGCCGGAAGAAGAGACCTACGAGCCGGTCTACGAATCTTCCCCTGCGGCGCCGCCACGGGCCAACTGCAGCTTTCTGTGGAGCAATCACGGAGCGAGGACAACTTTTCCAAATGACAAGCTCGTCGAGAACGCTACGTGCCATGCCCCAAGGGAAAAGGAGGACACCGACAGCGAGGGATACGACGATGTCGGACCGTCGAACTTCGTCGCTCAAGTGGTAGGAATTATCGCATGCGCGGAAATTCCGTTATCGCAAACAGACAGAATGGAAATTAATTGCTGCAAATTAACGTAATCCTGTGTGAATAACGAAGCGGCACGTGAGCATTTCGAAGCAATAAATTTGCCCGCCACTTTCGATGATTTTTGCATCGAAGAAGAATTTTAATTTTGTTAGACGGAGCAATTGAAATTAAGACATTACATTTACGTACAAAATTACTATAAGAATAGTAGAGTTGAGAAAATATCTGAAATGGGTTTGAAAAGTAATTCAAATAATTTATCGAAAAAGAGCTTCAGCGCTTAATTGTATAGTCATTAATATTATTGTGCATTTCCGTGCGAAACAATATGCACAAACTTCGACGCGCGAGCTTGGCTTTCACGCGATTGCTAAATCGCGTGGTGCGTTAAATTGGCAACCGAAGGTGAAACGGAATGTCGAATAATCGATTTGCATCGCGCGATACCTGCGCGCTTGCAAATTAGTTGCGGAAATAGGGTATCACGAACGATGCGTAATTCGATTCAGTTCTCAAATTTCGCTTTCGGGACCATACGCGCACGCGCCCGTTGTTTTTCCGTCGTTAAAAATTAATGACGCCGTACAGTCGACGCGCGCATCCTTTCGTGCAAATTCAACGTAAATCATTTAGGTCTTCAAATTACAAAAAAGAATGCATGATGAATCTGTTATCAGGAATCCGACTATGATGACGTGGGTCCGCCGACCGCTTATCCCGAGGTGTCCGTTGACGTCACCGATTGCGAGGAGATATACGACGATGTGATGCCGCCCAGCTTCAAGCAAGACAGTTCGAAAGCCGTCGACGAGAGTGATTACCTGATTCCGGAAGCTAGCGACGAGGCATCGTGCAATAAGGAGCCGTCCGTGGAATTGCAAACGACGTCCAAGATTCGCGCGGTGGATACGACGCCGCCGCGTTTCACTTCAGCGGCAACGAACGACGATCAGTATTTCTCGGCGACGAACAATGAATATTCCAGCGTGGACTGCGAAAGTCATCTGAGCGAGGAGGAGCGGGACGAGTTGGGTGTGTATGACGACGTCGGGCTGCCGCCCGGCGAGGAGCGTGTCAATAGCCTTTACGCCGGCTCCGCACCCGGCTCGGTCTTAGGACTGACCTCGATGAACGGCAAGGAATCCGAGTGGGAGGACCTGGAAGAGGCCTCGCGCTGCCCTTGTCAGACCAATGATCCGTGGTAAGCGTGGGAATGAGAGAACAGTGGGAAAAACTCCACGGGATATTCGCGAAGGTGGGGTAACAAAGATCTCGCGCGAACGATATTTCATTTTTCACAAGAGACAAAAGACGACCCCGCGCTCGCGAAAGAAACGTCGCGACGTTTAATTTCGAAAACCATTAACGACACCGGCCAAGTGCGATGTCCGAATCACGATTACAGCATGAATACGCAAATGAGGCGTGTCTTTAAAAAGCAGGCTGTCTGGTTTTCTCTGTCTGAGTAACGCGCCAAGCAAGTAGACCGTCGTCGGTCGCGAGAGGAATTCGCTCGGCGCGCGCGCGCGCGATAAGAGTCGCTTCGAAGGTACACACACATTTTTTTCCGCCGCTTCATTACAGCGATAACGGAGCGGAATTGAAAACAGCGTGGCTAATTGCCTTCACCTCGGCCGAAGGCGATTAATCATTATTAGCCCCGCGAGGTTAATATACACACGTGGCGAATCGTTCGACGCAAGTGTTTCGAAAACACAATACGGAGAACATCGCCACCGAGATAGCACCATGATAGCGCGACGCGATTAAAAAGGAAACATCATGTTAAATATCGTTATCATTGCATTCCACCCGGGGATGAACAAGCGTTCAATATGATTAATGCAACGTTATCATACCTAATTATAGCGTTGACTAAGACACAATAAGAGCCGGGCTATTGAATACCGTTATAACAATATAGATTCATTGCCAGTATGATTGTTGCAGCGAATACCTACATGTAAACTTGAAATTTCAGTGAAAAAGAGACCGAAGGGCAAATCGCGTCGGGCAAGAAGAAGCTCGCTCAACGGTGGTCGCGGAACGTCAGGAAACAACGATCCAGGAGATCTCGCAAGAGCATCAAGACGACACGGATGACCCACGATACCGCGATCGACGGTGAGTACCGGAGAAGAAAATTTTACCGTCAAGCGAGTAAACGGCGCGCGTGCCATAAAAGTAATGCACGTAATGCCGCTAAGAATACACGGGTGTCTCTCCTTGAAGGCATCCCACTACAATACTGCTGGCGTTCCGCAAATTGCGCGTACGTGAGTGCGTGACTCGCGTCAACGTATAAAGATTTTCGCGTGAGACTTGTTCTACCAGAAAGGAACGTCGCAATTGCACTATGCGCTCATTTAAAATTACGCAGCGCTGCACGTACATAAAATAGGTCCTGCACCGTTGCGAAGGATGTCGGGTGACGTTTGCGGGAAAACGTAAAAAATGATTTCACTCTCTTTATCCTACCTTATTGCATAAGATGCACTGTAACGATGCAACTTTTTTTTGTTATGCATCGTGTTCTATTTATTTATTGAAACTTAAATTATTGATATAATATATATATATATATATATATATATATATATATGTATATGTACACACACACAAGTGATTTCGATGGGAGATTACTTATCTATAGTAGTGTCACTTGCAAGACACTTGTCTGCCGGCAGTCTGATGGCAGACGGTAAAAATAGACACGCCGCGCCGCTAAAATAGACTGTTATTAGCTGTCAAACTGTATAGCTATCGTCTCTCGACAATGTCGACATTTATAAACGTATTACGTATTAAGGCGCTCGCATCACGGAACTACCCAGTGACTTTTCAATGACTATAGGTGGTTGCGTTCCTCAAACTGTTTCGACAATTCGTACTTTCGACATCGCCCGATGATGTAGTCTTCCTGAACGTCGCACACGTGACGAGACTTGCCCAAGCTTTTTATCATTCGCACACAGTAACTTCTCGGCAAAAAAAACCAAGTACCTCATCCGTAAACATTCGTATTCGTATAATACTTGAATAAAAGGCGAACCGCTATTATCAAGATTATTATCTCCTTATTGAGATAATAAAGGTATGACAAGAAATAAGTATATTGATGACTTACTACCGAGAAACTGGTGGAACTGTTATCAAGATCCTATTATTAGAAATGAATGAGAAGCAAATTTAACGCTACAACTTAAAACTCGAAATCCGTATTGTTGAAAGTGTATATAAAAAATGTATACAACAAATTGATTCTGCAAATCTGATAACGATCTCCAATCGCAAATTCCTTCTGATACTTTCCAATTTATTCCTTCGCAGGATATCAATCGCTTGATATGGAAAATATTGTTATTGATAGGAATTATTCTTGCGCAAATGAAATAATACAATAATCAAAGTGTTTCCTCTCAAGATTCTATTTATATCGATTATATGCGAGAAGCGCATTTGCAAATTGCGATGCTATAGATCAGACGTGAGACTTTTACTTTCTGGAAACGTGTATTTGTGTGTGTTCCGGCAGGTTTAGTACGCAAGTCCGTAATTAAACCTGAGAAAGTACTAATGACGTACAGTACCGATTTTCCAATAACGCAAGACGTTGACCGAGCGAGCGTTTGCCGCGTCTTCGGGATTCCCAAGCCCGAATTGGCATCGTTCGCAGGAATTAAACATACCAGGAACGACTTCGCGCCGAACGAGTTTTGCGACGAGAATTATAGTATATATACAACAAGATATGATATTACATATATGTATCTCAACAGTGTCACGGCCGCGAACGCGGTTCTGCGACTTTGTGCAACGAGGCAACAAGTATAGCGAGTGAGCAAGGCGCGGTAATCCACAGTCGTGTTTGCTCGCGACGAACGTCGTATCCGAAGGACGGTGGGCGGTGTAATTGACTCGACGTGGATACCGCCGCGCGCCGGTATCACCTTTAACGTAATTGAAAGACAAGGCCGCGAGAGGTCGAGGTGCCACGCCACGACAAAGCACCTACTCTCCATTAATTCCGAGTTCCGCTGCACATCACCGCGTGATCGGAATACGCAGCTGCTGCGCGCGCGCGAGGAACACGAGCCAAACACGTCACCGAGAATGACCTACCGCGGACAACAATGATTGTGACATCGAGCTGCAATCATCCTGCGAAAGCTGGGTAAACTGAAAAATAGCGCAGGGAAATTTTAGCCAACGGAATTAGGCCATGGCAATTACGTATCATTACTACTTTGGCAATAAAAAAATACAGAATGTAATTCATAGAAATTATAACAAAATTATTTTTTTAACTGTTGTGTTAGTACTTTTTTAGCTGCAGATAAAATTTTTAAATTGCTCTACATTCTCTACAACTTTACATAAAAATAACTGCATTATTCTTAAATTTAAATGGCAATGAGAAAATTTAAAAAGACAACAAGCATTAACTCTTCAATATTGCATTATGCATTACTTACTATTGCATTATTGCTGTTGTATTATTTATTATCTGCTACTCGTTTATGTTTTTTCTACTTTCTTTATATATTTCTTTCTGTATATATTTTAATTATCATTAATCATCTCAAGATAGGTACTTTCGTTAAGAGTCAGATATTTAAAAAAATTTTTTTTTATTTCATTTGATATTTAGTTGAAAAAATTTGAAAAGTTGAAAAGTTGAAGAGAATTCAACAATTTGTAATACCTGATTTTGAAGTTTAATTATTCAATTGTACAGAATTTTATATTTATATATAATCTCTTATTTCTCATACTCTCTTTTAAAGAAGAAGAATTTTATATTTATATATAATCTCTTATTTCTCATACTCTCGATTTAATATAAATGGAACAATTTTCAAAGAGTCTTCAAAAAATAACTTTCATCAGCTATTTTAGAAAATAATAATATTAACAATTTTAAAAAAAATCTTGTTGCAATGTCTATAGATTACTTATTGTATTGTCATTACCGAAAACAAAAATGTATATAATTCATACAAATTTCATAGTATATTTCAAAATAACTACGTTAAGATATGCATAGATTTTCACCGCTTCAAACTTATCCTAACTCATATCTCACGCTAATTAATTCACAAACATCATTTTTATATTAATGCGGTCATCTGGAAAGCGTCGGTATTTTCTAATAGTAACGTGTTGTATAACTATCAGATAAGAGTTTCGATTTAATTAAATCTAGCTAGAAAATAGAATGACGAGTGGATTTGTGAATAAAAAAATACCGCGCCCGAAGACGCTAATTCAATTTCGCGAGGACGACGGTATACGGTATCTCGCACGATGCATTGTACCGTGATATCAGTAAGGATGATCGCACAGTCGCGTATATAGCGATTCAGGTAAAAGTTGCTTGTTCGTCACACGTGTTTCTGTGACGACCGACGGGCGTAATCACGTAACACGCGCGCACATGCGTGCGTAATTGCCTCTTTTTTTCTCTCTCTCCTCGCACATGCGACCGCCATATGGGCCGTTGTTGCTTCGACAGGCGAGGATGTCGTAAGCTGTCCGTCGTAATGCGAAATGTGTTTTATTCGCGAGAGAGAACTAATGCGAGATGTGTGAAGCGAGAAACGGTAATTTTGCGCGCAAGAATTGAAGGACGGCTTAAACGCGCACTTGCTTGTGCGCGAGATTGATACATAAGCTAACCAGCTATACAAGGAATCGACTATTAATTCAAGGTTCACGACGGATAAAGTACGTGATGCGCGAAAACGAAGCAATGACAGAGAGAATATACATTTGATGAATATTACTCTTACGACTGGCTCGCGCTGGCTGAGGCAAGAAACTGAAAACGGTTTCGAATGTCCCGTTTTATGGAAAAAAAACGATTTCATTTTGCACGGTCATTGCCTCGAATATGTATTAACGATCGACTTCATCGTAAGCTCGCTTCTCACTGCACGCTCGATGCGCACGATAATGAAAATCTTCCTGCATGCCTGATACTGCATCGTCTATCATGCATTAACTGTACTTCAGGAAAAAAAGGAGTTATTTAATGCAATTAATACTTGCCTAATGATCGGCTGAATATATTTGACACCGTAAATCGGTGTCAAATTTTCTATAAGAAAATTTTTACGGACAGTGAACTTTCGTCAATTGAGATTTCTACGAAAAATAAGATTTTATTATTCTTCACGGAAATGCCTGATGAGGTTTCTCACGAAACACAGTGTAAACTGCTTGATAGTGTACTTATTTCGTCAAGAGCAGGCACCAGTCTTTAATTAAAGAGGTCTTCACACGACTGAATCAATTTGGCACAGACACTCTGTCAATCTGACACATAATATTGATAAAACTATTATTCTTTATCTAGATTATCATTAGGAATGAAATTGTCAATATTACAAATTACTTTAGTTTTGTCTATGAATTCTTTGATTATTATATCCAATAATTAATGGAACATAAAGTACATTTCTCTAAAAATATATACCGATAGTATCTCTTACTCGATTGAAAATCTTGAAAAACTGCCACATTCCTAAAAAAAATATTTATAAAGATTGTTTTGTTTATGAGAGAGGTTTGTGTTTAATAAGATGCAAAAATTATTATTAGATTGCAAAGACAATAATCTATTTTGCAATAATATTTGCCGCAAAATATAAAAAAATTTTTTTGAATTCTTTAAAAAATATTAGGGTCACTGCACCAGTCGTTGAATAATCACTAGTAAATGACTATTTAAGAAAAATATTAAAATAATAAGACTACAGAATAATAAATTGTAAATTGATTAATATTTTTTAAATCTAATTTTCATACAGATTTGATTGAAACATTTTTTATTTAAACATGTAATAATATTAAGTAAAACTGGAAAATATGTATGTACGTATTTTCCAGCTTTACTTAATATTATTACATGTTTAAATAAAAAATAATGTTTTAATCAAATCTGTATGAAAAATAAATTTAAAAATTATCAATTAATTTACAATTTATTATTCTGTAGTTTTATTATTTTAATATTTTTCTTAGTCATTTAATTGCTGGTGATTGTTCAGCGACTGGTGCAGTGACTCTATGTCATTCTTAGATTTAAATTTTTATTTCTATACTACTCACAAAAAGTATAATATTTTGTGATATATAAATACGTGTATTTACTGATAATATTTATATGCATAAGAGAAATTTAATATTAATAATATAAATAATTTAAATAGCTCCCCAACAAAGAAACCTTCATTGTTATTCTATATTTATCGAGTAACAGCTGTGCGTGCTCCAAGCTCCCCAGAAAACCATTGAAAGTGTTTGAGCATAGGTCTAAATCATCGATGCATACGTCAGCCTTCGAACAAGTTCTCGTCTTGTGAGAGACGCCTTAAGGAGATCCCCTTGTGTGAGAGCCCCTTAAGAAACCAGCGCGCGAGGTGAAAGCGCCAATTGCGCGCTCTCATTGCCAGTCACGGCCGAGCCGCGAGCTGTACGGTCGCTTCTCTTTCGCGATTCTCTCGCCGAGTTCTCTCGCAGCGCGAAAATCGACCGGATCCGCATCGCACATCGTCGCACTCTGAGAGAAAGAGACGAAGTTCCCCGCGGGAGAAGAAGGCTCGTTTCCTTCGCCAGCGCGAAAACGTCTGCGAAACGCGCGCGAATCGCTCGCGGATGCGTCTCGCATTCCCCGGAGCTCGTCTCACTTGCCGAGCTGCACATCGAGACGAGATGTGGAAATGAGAGAGACGCTGACGACCCGACGACCCAACACGCAAGGTAAAAGAACGAGAGGGGCCCGCCGCTTGCCCGCGCACGCCCGCGTCCTACTCGCGCGCGTCGAATTTTGCCTAAATTTTGAACCGAGATTTCCAAACTGGAGAACATCGATGGCCACGCAGTCGTCGCACATTTCCTTCGTAAACGTTCTTGATTCTTCGATCACGCCACCGATCACTATCACAATTAATCTATCGTGCGTCTCCTAATTGTTCTCTATGCTCAGCTTGGAACTTTTCGCAAATTCGATTGCCGCATCGATCTTTATTCCAATTTCATCACAATCGCGTTATATTCCGTCAGTTCAATGAAGTCTACGACGTATATATAGTTTTGTCCCTATGTTACTTTCTTTAGCTAGATTTCTAGCTCCGTTAAAAATGATACGAATGTCGACATGGATTAATAAAAATTCTAGTCTCGTTTTAGCACAGACGGATGATCGCAAGTTACTTCTCGATCTCGGGGAAACGGCGCGGGAGAGTAGTCAGAGTTTCTACTTTCTTCCGAGAGATCAAAGAAGATCGCTGTAAACTCACACTCTCTTTCCCTCTCGGAAAGCTGATTCGAATTCGCATTCGTCGTCATTCACGATGACGAGTTAATCTTAATTTATCCGTGAGATCTTCGCGAAGACGTTCGAGAGAACAGATATTTCAATATTTTCTTCGATAGGCTCGCGCGTTATATATAAAATTGTCGATTACCGGCCGACTTGGTAAAACGAAAGTTGTCGTCGTCGCCGTCGTCCTCGTCGATGGACACGAAATTCCATCGCAGTGGGGAATCCGATCGCGTATTTCGCCGTCCACAGCCATATTTGACTCACCTCGCGCGTGCGTTTGTCCCTATCGCGTTGATCCCCTGTACCCTCTCGACGTTCCCTCGTTCCGCGTCTTTCGTGGTCCAGCGCGTGTGGGCGAGAGCGCGCGTGCCGCCGGATTTCTCCGGCTTTGGCTTGGCCTGGCGAGTCTGACCTTGAAACCGGATGATTTCAAGTGGCCGTCAGCCTGGGCGGCGGATCGATACTCCTTATCGGCAGCGAGGCGCAAAAGACCGCCGGGGAATGGAAATCGGCGAGCCGGGGCGACGATCTGCCGCGGAGAACTCAGGGCCTGGTGCAGCTGCGCGTCGTCAGCCTCGACGAAGATGTGGACACCCAGGAGACATCATGTTACGTCCACGAAGGTACCTGCCCAGGGTACCTTAGATAATACGTGAAAATGCGATCGAAGAGATGAAAAGGATTGTCGATCGCGCGGGAAATTTTCGATATCTGATGTTACGTTTAAGTTTCCTCCAATCGCATTATATTAACTAAGGCACGTGAATGTATTACATACGGCTTTAATCTTCGAATATCCTTGTAACAGCCCGAGGATGTTTAAGGAATAAATTATTAGAAGATGTGTCTAACAATACACGTCTTAGCAAGAAAAAACACGCTTCTACAGCTTCAACGAGAACGTGAACACGCAAGAGACTTCTTAGAAAAATTTATTACTTATAACTATAAATATTATCGGATAATGCTATAAGTATATTAAATTTTTCCAAGAGACAAAAATATCTGCGGAATATTTTAACTCACGCATGAAAATGAGAGTTGGAAACAATTATCAAACGCAAATATTTTCGATCAATATTGTTTGATGTTGCATTCCCATTTGCGTTTCCTCGTATTTTATTGACTAAGAAACACGTGAATTCATGTAGGTATCAACAAAGCGATAAATGACATCTTTTTCTATTTGCTTTGATACGATTTTGCGACATCCTTGGAACGGTCCGACATTTAAAGAATAAATTATTTATTATTCTTTATTTTTTAATTTTAAATATTATTCTTTATTATTAAATTATGATTAATTCTTTGCGACATCAGGATATGTTTACATCTTACATGTCTAATTATAAGAAAGAGAATATGCTTTATAGTCTTGCAACATTTATGCATTAATCATTCGTAAAATAGCTATTTAAATGTTACATTAGACTATATATAATCTATATCTTGAAGATCCTTTCTATAAGCGATCGTAAAAAGACACTTTCTCATTACGTCCAGAGATATGGTGCGAAGAATGGATTGCGAACATAACATCTTCGTAACAGCTCCGATAACTTATAGTTTCCCTGATCGGACTTTCTCTTTATTCAGACAACACTTCCGACGACAGTACATACGAGAGTCTGCATTCTTGTCAACCGGATGACCTCAGCAGCGATTCGGACACGGAAACGGACATTACGCGGCAGCCGCGTAGTGATCGCGTGATCGATGCTTATTCGGAATGCCCTACAAGGCCGACTCCGCCGCCGCCGAGGGAGGTCAGTCTAACTCAGACTCTGGGCAGACAGATAAAGATGCTGCGCAGGACCTGGAGCATCACCAAGGGCAGTCTGGGCAGGATCAGGCGGCGGACGTCCGTCGACGAGTCTGGCTTCGACGATAAGGAGCAATCTGTCAACGAGCCTCACAGCGATGCCGGAAGGTACTTCAACTTCCGGCTGAAGCACTTCAGCCGAAAGAACGTCGTTGGTCCGCCGACTTTCTACCTCGACGAGAACAGCGGAAACGACGGCATTCGCGACAACAACAACGGCGTCGCCAAGGAGGCGATTTACACCAATAGTCAGTATATGGGAAGTGGCAGCGATGATTCCTCGAGAACGCGGACCAGCGCCGACATCGGTGAGTCGATCTCGATTGTCGACAATTTCCGAATCATTCTCTCTCTCTCTCTCTCTCTCTCTCTCTCTTCTAATTTACGACAAAGTGTGCACGAGAATGATATTGAATTTTACAAAACGGATGCGCTGAACTAAACTGATAATGTGAATTAAATTATATAGTGGATAATAATATCTTTAGATCAGAAGCACATTATTATAAGCATTAGTCTAAGAAGATTTTTAGGAACGCACAATAGTAATTTACAAATAATTCGTTGTAAATTTCTCTACATAATAAATTAGACATCACAAACAGTCGCGAGGGAAAACGAGTTTTATTGGCGCATCTAATTGTAAGACCTGATCCTACCAGGCTAAATTCAGGCTGATTCTTATAGGCCGAATAGTTATTGCTCTACGGTTTTCGGAATATTCCCACATGAACAAGAAAGAATGCCACTCGCTGCACCAACGCGTAAAAAGAGTACGCTTGTACACTTTCACGGAACTCTAATAATGGTACTTCCTCCTAATTAATTAACATATGCCAGAATTTTTACGATCTATGCTCGTCGCATGCTTGACTGTCGCTCGTTCACGCATGAGAATCCGCCGCCTTGACAAAATATTGTTTTAGATCATTACAGCGTGCTCGCCGATCAAGAGCCTCTTTACCAGTTTTATGCAGCCGCGGTGGCTCGTGTTGCTTTCGAATCGGATTCCGAAGGCTACGAGGAGGTAATGTTCTTACGTTAGTTACGCTTAAAATTTATGAACACGCGAACCATTCCCCCAAAAAACTTCTCCAAATAGAATATCTTTACTCTATTCAATATATAGAATGGAATTTTTTTTTAATTGATGTTCTTATCGACAATTTTTGTATGTACATGAAATATATTAATACATTTTTCATAAAACTAATGTAACGTTTTCTTATTAATTTTATTTTCTTTTTACGATTTATAGTTTTTTCAGAAAATAATAAAAATCTTAATTCTTGTTTTTATTTTTCTGTATTCTTTTTTTATTGTATAATATATATGATTTAATTATATATTACATAAATTATCTCTTTATTTTACGATTTATAAAATTAAACGAAACCTGTTGCTACTTTACATATCGTTGCTATATAATTTTTTATTTGTAGGTAGAAGATATGCTGTGCAAGACAGAACCAGCCGCAGCGGATCTTACTAGAGCAGGGCAAAGAATGCTCTGGTGTCATACTCCACAAGTGATACACAGTGGTCTCTTACGTAAGTTAAAAAAACTGTATATTTAATTAGAGAAGTATTTTTCGTACAGTAAAATATATTGAAAATGAAAAAGCTGGTCATAAAAAATTAAAAGAAGAATACTTAATATTAGAGACGTTAACACCGGAAGAGAAGAAGATTCAGGAAGCGAAGTTTGAGATCTTGACTTCCGAAGCGTCGTACTTAAATTCTCTTCGGGTCTTAGAGAACGAGTTCCTCAATAATCATACACTAATAAATGAGATTCTAACGTCGATTGAAAGAAAGAAATTGTTCGGCGGGGTGCCGAGCGTATTATCGGCGTCGCAAACGTTCCTAGCTGAATTGGAAGCTGTGTGGAGGGAAGATCCGATGTTGCCGGGCTTATCGGAAGTCTTACTGAAGCATGCCGAAAAGTGTCAGGCCACGTACGTGGCATACTGCTCGAATCAAGTCAGCATTGATACAACTCTGAAAGAACTCAAGTAAGATAATTAGCGATGCCATAAAATCGCTTTTTATATTTGTACTTTTTTGGAAAATGTAAATAATATATTTTTTAAAAGAGACAGTGATAAATACATATTGTTTGAAATAATATAGTTATACTCATTCTATTGCAGAGCTCGGAAAGGTGTAAAGGAGGCCATCAAACGCATAGAGACGCGGCCAGCGTGCCAAAATCTAACTTTGCATTCCTTCCTAATGCTACCGATGCAACGTGTTACAAGGTGTGTACGAAATCAATATCAAACCAATTACTTTAATTAAATTCAAATTTCATTAAAGTTTATTTATTTCGTATTGTGTAAATTTCGTAAATGTTAAACGAAAATTTATATAAAAATTATTTACACGCCAATAATTCTGCGTAGACTGCCCTTATTAGCTGACGCCATTCTTTCTAAATTATCGATGGGAAATTCGGACAGAATGTCTTGGGAAAAGGTCTTATCGACTTTAAGCAACGTCGTTGCTGAATGTAACGAAGGTGCACGGGCTGCTGCACAAGAAGCAGAAATGGAAGCTTTATCAAGGTATGCTGTTATTTCTTAATAAATCTTAATTTATATTCTTTTATATATTGTATGCGGAATAAGTTACATGTATTTAATCATAGGAAACTGGAGTATGCCTCGAAAATTAAACCAATCATACTGAGAGGCAAGCAATTGGTTAGAAGTGGATCGGTCATGCAATTGTCGACGAAGACAGATACTGAATATAAGCTCACATTTGGAAAGAAATTTACTAAGACGCCACTTTACCTTCTACTACTCACTGATTATCTTCTAGTCACGAAATTAAAATCTAAGTAAGTTATCATTTAACATAATTACGTTTGTTTTCATTGCATTACAATTTTGAGTAGATCAAAGTTTCTACTAAAACTGATTTCACTATAAATACAATTTTTATGAAAAAAAGTTGTAAGCCCTTTACTTTCTATTTTGGAGAATTGAATTAGTTTTATTTAATTTATTCATTGTTTAAAGATTTCTGTCCTTCCAAAGGACAACACAATCCAGTAGACGAGATATTATTAAAGACATATAAATTGTCATAATTATCATGTAGAGAACATTATGACGTTGTGAAGTCCAAAAAAACATTTTAAAATTTTGAAAGTGTCTTATAAAATACAATTTTATAAAATCAAAGAGACATTTTATAGATGATGTGCCTTTGAGATATCTTATATGTCCCGATATTTATGAAATTTTTGAAATATATAATATTTCTTCTTTTAAATAAATTATCTTATTATTGAGAACGAAATTTAAAATAAAATACTTTGCAGTGCTCATGACGAATGCTACACCGTCATAGACGCGTGCAAACGGAATCTTCTGGCTCTAGAGTCGGCTTCCGATGAATCACCATTCGCTGGACGGAACGCTATGATACTGACTTTTCTGGAGAATCACTGCGGCCGCCACGTAGAATACGTCTTGACATGCAAAAATAATACAGAACGAGAACGATGGCTGGAGGCTGTCTCGCCGCCCAAACGTGGTTTAGTTGGGGAAACATTATATGAATCTTGGGACTGTCCGCAAGTAATGGCCAAGCATCCATATTCGCCAAATCAACCTGATGAGCTGTCTTTACAGTCAGGTAATACATTACATATATGTATAATGTATATTTACATAATAATTTTTTAAGGATAATTTTTATGTCCATAAATGTATTATCAAATAGATATGATTAATAGAACAATTTTGACTTTAAGAAAAAAAATATTTTCTTAATAAGAATTTATCTTCTCCAAAGTTTCATAAATATCCAAATTAAATATAAGTACTTATAGCTCGTGTAATAAAAAATAATTTAAAATTCAGACATATATGTATATATTTTTTTTACAAAATATGATTTTTTAACAAACTTTTTTCACTACTCAATGATACATTAATTATATTCCTATTAAAATATTTTATAATAAAAAAGTCATAATTCCAGTAAAATCGAATACTGTTCTCTAGGAGACGTGATAAACGTATTAAGAAAAATGGCAGATGGCTGGTATCACGGTGAAAAATTATTGGACGGCGAGCAAGGATGGTTTCCGGCGAATCATACGAAAGAAGTTGCGTCGGAACACGTGCGCGCGCGAAATCTGAAGCAACGACATCGTCTTTTAGCACTCAGCAACAGTGTGATACAACAAAGAAGAGCGAAACAAAATCAGGGGGTTCATTGACGAAATTAAAATGTGATCTGAGCTCGAATCACTCAGATATTGTGATCGTTAATAAATTATTTGTTTATACGCGATTTCTACGATATTTCAGTATTGAATTTATTCCGATTAACTATTATGTGCCAATATAATACTACTCGTCAAAGCGGAAAACGATTCTGTAAAATCTTTTACTGTAGTATATTGAAGCTACAGAAAGCTGATACAAGAAAGATAATGATATATATTTTATATTTTACATGTATATTGTATATAAGGGAGTGGAGAAAGAAAACAAGAGAGAATGTTGTAACAAAAGTATGCGTCATTTATTATTTTTATACAAATACAATATAAACATTATTTCATATATTTCTTTATTTTTAAATATCTCTGACTTGGTCTATGAGAATGTCTGAAATTAAAAAGTTATAAACGAAGATGAATAAAAATCAGTCAGCGAACATTGAACATGTCATATTTTACAAATGTAAATTGCAAAACAGTCTTCTGTAATAAAGATGCTCTCAACTTATATATATTATTAGATTTTTACTATTAACAGATAATAAAAAGGAAATATTCTCTGAAATAGAACTCTTTATAAAAATTATCAAAAACAATGTGGTTAACTGACGTAAATAATATACTAACTTTGATTATAGAAAGTAAATCTTGTCAATGTGAATCCGTTATATTTTCGTAATTAGAAGTTTATAGCTGGTATTTATAGCCCGATTTTATATTTAAGATCGCCTTAAGTAGTTTTAAGCTATTATAAACGGATCACAGATCATAGCATCTTAAAATATTACTTAAGATGATCTTGAAGTAAAAATGAATTATGAATATAACCTATGTATTCATTTATTAAGGCTAATCTCAGCTTGTATCTCATCACATATTTTCAACATTCAGACAGTCTCTGAAGAATCAGCATATAAATTTACACATGGCATAAAAATAACGTACAGGCATATAATCAACCAATAAAACATGCAAAATAGCAATTATAAAAACGCATCAATCGAGTCACTTATGCGTTATAATTTATGCCATTATTTAGAAACTGATACTAATTAATTGATGCAATGAGCTTATCACAACATGTATTGAACGGTACTTTTATGGAGCAAATTGGCTGCAATACATTAGTATTAAATGCGTGTCTTGGAATGTCCAGATGGTTTCACGTCGAACAACTTTCTAACGAAATACACTTGGACCATAGTCGTCAACGTAATGACAACCACTTGCGCGATTGACCACGTCTGTACATAAGAATTATTGTCCATCAGCAGATTTAAATCTCTCGCCTCTCTGCTTCTGCTCCAGTGTTGAGTATGGAGCATTTCGTTAATATTTTTCTCCACATTCACAATTGTATTCTGAAAGAGAGATAATGATAATATAATGATACAATACATATAATAATATATAATATGTAATATTAATATATATTTTATAAATAAATATATATTTTCTGTATATATTAGTAATATACAGGGTGTCCTTTCGCAAATCAAAATATCATAGCAAGAAAGTCTTCGAGAAATTAAGTAAAAAAGTTATTTGTAAATTTTTATTTTATAAGCAATAGTTTTTGAGATATAAAGGTTTCAATTTAACCAATTATAGATTAATACTCGCGTGTAGTGCGCGACCACTAACACTACTCACGGACATGTTTCCGTTTAATTGTAATCTATAATTGGCCAAATTTAAACTCTTATATCTCCAAAACTACTGCTTAAATTAAAAATTTACAAATAACTTTTTTACTTAATTTTTCAAAGACTTTATTGCTATAATAGTTTGATTCGCGAATTTTGGAACACCCTGTATATTATAATATACTACTAATATATAATTTATTTATAATAATATTGTTTTTATATGTATAATTGCAACACCTGTAGAGAAGCTTACATGACATACATACCGTAAAGTTCTCAACGGAAAGATTCAGTTCTTCTAATTCCTGCGTATATTTTTGCCATTTATCATACCTAATAACAAATAACAAATAACAAGATTAGAAAATAATAGGTATATATTTTACCATGTTTCTGACACATATATTTTTACCAAATTAATTGCAAGAGTCTTACCTAATCACTGTGATGTATAGATTGACTAATTTTGCAGCAAATCTTGAAAACTGATTATCAATGCATACGCTATAATAACCACCGTTCAACGACTGATCCTGATAGTCTGCGTTTGCACGCCATTGATAAGGATAAACTATAACCCCCTCTGGATTTCTTACTGCAAAACCTGCTTTTCCGTCTCCACCACGCAATACCTACAATCAAAACAAATTTCTTAAATCAATGTAATGTTGATGTAATGGACTTATCACAACACGTATTGAACAGTGCTTTTATGGAGCAAATTGGCTGCAATACATCAGTATTAAATGCATGTCTTGGAATGTCCAGATCAGTAAACCATTATTTTCTATTCAAATACTGCCTTTTGCATCAAGAGCCATGTTCCAATATACACTAATAATACTGGAAATCTATAATATATATGTAACTGAAAATTATAGACATACATATTCTGATAAACAATTAAGTGCATATGACTCTATAAAATCATTGTTTTTTTTTTACAGTAAAATACAATTGTAAAGTTTATAAACATGCGTGACTGCCGTGAGCCATCAGAGCAAACGCTCATAAGTTGTGTGCTCCTGTCCGAGTCATGTGGAGAAAAACGTCTCCTAGGAGAAAGTTGTCTCCAACTTCACGCAACACCATATGGTTAACCGAGTGATTCGCATTCCGATACTTCCGATGCCTGATTTTGTATCACTCTAAAACGACTCGCGGCTCATCGCTCAACGGATATCCAGTCGACGGTACCTGGAAGCTGACGTAGAATGTCGCGCCTGGATTTACATATTGGAAGTAACAATCCTCCTTGCCGGCGTCGATATGCACCTTGTAGTCCATCGCGACCGCAGGCAGATTCTCGTAAGAGAAACCGTCGGCCAGCGGCGCGACTAGGACCAGAAAAAACGCACCAAATAGCACGCAACCGAGCTGTATGAGGAGGGACATCGTAGCGCGATGGGCATCACAACAAATGACGTCGACAGCGGTCACACGGATGAGGCCGGAGACCTGTTCGACAGCCACGCGGTCCACGCGTAATTCTGATTATTCTGAACTCTGAAGTGCTCCGAACAGTCCGAACTCCGGAGCATCTCAGAACGGAACGTTTGCGCATGTGTAACTACGTAATCAACCACGTGACAAACTCGACAAATTTGTATTCCGATGTTATTCATTTCTGACGAAACATACATTTTCTTTTAGTTAGAATTTTTTAGATAATTTTTCAGAATTTCTATATAATTTTATAACATTTTTAAAAAATGTTATAAAAATGATTTTCAGATTTTTTATACAAACTAAAACATTTTTCATCATTCATTTAAAAAATAATCTACATATTTTTAAAAGTTTATATCATTACATATTATTTACATATACACACATCTAAAATATTCTAAAATTCCATATTTTATAATTCCCAAAGAAAACATAAAATTTGGAAAAGTTTGCAATATTTTTTAGAAATCATTAATTTAATTAAAATATATGAAAATGATCCCTACAAAAAAAAATCAAATATGAGGTATGAGAACTTTTTCACTAGGAATGGCTTTTTTTAGAATATATCATATAAATTAAATTTTTAATATTAATTATACGTTTTATCACGTATATATTAAATACTTTATTAAGCGTAAATGATATATTAGTCGTTATATTACTACTACACATTAAAATTATGTCAAACCATTGAGTAAGAAGACACAGGAGAAAGTGTATGGCATAGTAGAAAAACAAGGGTTGCTCATCCGGTAGACGAATTTAGAAGGCTCGTGCGCAGCAGCTTGCTACGTCACATTCGTGCAGTCTCGGCAACGTCCGGCATACTTCGGCCGGATAAAATGGCTGCCAGACGGCCAGCCGACGGACGCTTATTGGACGTTTGATATTGCGGGCGCACATGCTTGTTTAAATTTTATATATTCTCTCGAAAACAATTATTGTATACAGTTTGTATGGATGATACCCGATTGACCACGTCCCGATTGACCACCAGCCACTCACAGCGCTTGAACAGTGGAAAATCTCTAGGCACCGGCCGCTGTGAGTGGCTGTGGTCAATCGGGACGTGGTCAAACGGGACGCTCCCGTTTGTATTAACATTTTACAGAGGTAATTTTATGCCTGCAGGTAAGGACGCGAACGTACATCCGAGTACGAGAAATTAACCGCAAAATATCGTTACAAAATAGAACTAGAAAAACAAGAAGA